GACACTCACCACTGAGTCACTCACCACTGACAGTGACACTCACCACTGACAGTGACACTCACCACTGAGACACTCACCACTAAGAGTGACACTCACCACTGAGTCACTCACCACTGAGAGTGACACTCACCACTGACAGTGACACTCACCACTGACAGTGACACTCACCACTGAGAGTGACACTCACCACTGAGTCACTCACCACTGAGACACTCACCACTGACAGTGACACTCACCACTGACAGTGACACTCACCACTGAGGCCAAACACCGAGTTGTAGAGGCTCCGGAAGGACGCACTGAGATCATCAAACTCCACGCTGTCCTGCCCTCGCACACACTGCACGCACACACAAGGACACACACACATTACACACACACACATTACACACACACATTACACACACACATTACACACACACACACATTACACACATTATACACACACATACACACACATTACACACACACATTACACACACATTACACACACACACTACACACACATTACACACACACATTACACACACATTACACACACACATTACACACACATTACACACACTACACGCACACATTACACACACACATTACACACACACAAGGACACACACATTACACTACACACACACTACACACACATTACATACGCACACACTACACACACTACACACACACATACTACACACACACACTACACACACTACACACACACACATTACACACACACAAGGACACATATTACACACACACACTACACACACATTACACACAGACACTACACACACATTACACACAGACACTACACACACACATATTACACAGACACACACACATTACACACACACACTACACACACACACTACACACACACACTACACACACACACTACACACACAACACACACACATTACACACACACACTACACACACACACTACACACACAACACACACACATTACACACACACTACACAGACACACACACATTACACACACACACTACACACACACACTACACACACAACACACACACATTACACACACACTACACACACACACACACATTACACACACACACATTACACACACACTACACACACACACATTACACACACACATTACACACACACATTACATACACACATTACACACACACTACACACACACATTACACACACACTACACACATACACATTACACACACACATTACATACACACATTACACACACATTACACACACACTACACACACACATTACACACACACACTACACACACAACACACACACACACATTACACACACACTGCACGCACACACACTACACACACACACATTACACACACACTACACACACACACATTACACACACACCACACACACACACATTACACACACACACACATTACACACACACTACACACACACACATTACACACACACTACACACACACATTACACACACACTACACACACATACACATTACACACACACTACACACACACATTACACACACACACATTACACACACACTACACACACACATTACACACACACTACACACACATACACATTACACACACACTACACACACACATTACACACACACTACACACACACACACATTACACACACACATTAAACACACACTACACACACACACACACATTACACACACACTACACACACACTACACACACACATTACACACACACTGCACGCACACACACTACACACACACACTACACACACACTACACACACACACATTACACACACACACATTACACACACACTACACACACACACACATTACACACACACTACACACACACACTACACACACACACATTACACAACAACAACAACAACAACCGCCATTCGCCACTAAGTGGCGGTGACGTCACCACGACGCTTGTGCCAGGCTATGTGCACCCTGAGGCCACGTGAAGTGTCGAACGCCCGCTGGCAGGAGGTCACGGGGCAGACCCAGGTGCCACGGGTCGACTGACTGAGATGACTGGCTGATGCACCACCTGTGCCCCCTACTGTGCCAACCTGCTGTGCTTTAGCCACCCGGCGCTCCGCTCGCTGTTGTGAGCGTCGCTCCTCCGCCCTCCGTTGTTGTTGGAGGGCGACTGCCTCCAACTGCCCAGTAGCATCCTTCACGAGCCTCCTCCACAGAGGCCGATCTTGACACCGCTGGTACCAGTCATCGGCAAGTCCACTCAGCTCCACGTCCTCCTGTACCACATCACTCCATCTCTTCTCTAGCCCGTGCCGCGCCCGCTTAGCCCCCTCAATCCGGCCAAACAAAAGCTGTTTCGGCATGCGGTGGCTGGGCATGCGGGCTACATGACCCAGCCATCGCAGCCTTGCCTGCCGGAGGAGCTCACCGATGGGACCTTGCCCAGATCTTTCAAGGATTTGTGAGCTCCTCACACAATCCAGTCTGGTTAAACCCAGGATGGATCGTAGGCAGGCCAGCCTAAATGTTTCTAACCGGCGAAGATGTTCCATTCGGGGGGTCCACGTTTCGCAAGCATAGAGAAGGGAGGGAATGACCGTGGCCGAGAAGACCTGAAGCTTAGTGCGGAGCGACAGACCAGGTAGCTTCCACACAGCGTTACGCAACCGATGAAAAGATATTGCCGCTCGACTGATTCGGAGTGAGACCTCTGCTGTTAAACTGGAGCCAGTCATAAGCACACTGCCCAGGTATGGGAAACTCTCCACTCTCTCCACAACTGCCCCATCACCGATTGGGAGTTGTGGTGGTGGAGTGTCCGATGGTACAAAATACCCAGGCAGGTGCTTAGTTTTGGTGGGGCTGATGGTAAGGCCCCACCTCTTAGTGGCATGCTCCAGTCTCAGCAGCAGCGTCTCCAACTCCTCCTCTGACTGAGCAGCTATTACCAAGTCATCAGCATACATAACGTGGTTGAGCAATAGGGAGCCATCCCTTGACCGCACCCGGGCATCGATTAGCCTCCCATTATATCTGTACCATATGGAGATTCCCCCGGTACAGCTATTGAAGGCTTCACGAACTACGTGGTCAAAATAGATGTTAAATAATGTGGGAGCCAAAGGACATCCCTGTCGCACCCCAAGGTGTACAGGGAATGGCTCTGACTCCCGGCCACGTAGTTTTACCCGGGCCCGCTCACCATCATGAAGGTCCTTAATGATCGTGAGCAGAGGGTCAGGTACTCCAAAAGCACGAAGAACGACCCAGAGCCCAGGCCTACTGATGGTATCATAGGCCTTGACCAGGTCAATAAAGCAGAGATGTAGGTCTTGTTGGAATTCCCTACACCTCTGCTGTAGCAGACGGACAGAAAATATGGCATCTGTGCAGGACCGCCCTTTCCTGAAACCGCATTGGGGCTCCGCAAGCCTCTCCTCAGCGTGCCTGGCAAGGCGATGCTGAATAATCCTTGCCAGGACCTTTCCCGGCACACTGAGGAGTGAGATGCCCCTGTAGTTGTTACAGTCTGTGCGGTCCCCCTTCTTAAAAAGGGGGACCACCAGGGCATCCTTCCAATCCTGCGGAACCCGTCCAGTGGTCCAGACTGTTGTTATGATGTCATATAGGGCAGTCTGTGCACAAACGCCACCCTCCCTCAGCATTTCGCTTGGGAGATCATCTCTGCCCGCTGCCTTTCCTGGTCTCAGACTCCGGATCGCCTTCAATACTTCCTCAGCAGATGGCACCTCAGCCAGCCACTCACAGGGGGTGACTTCATCCAATATTTGAGGCACCGCAGCCTCAGCAGGGTCATCCTCACTTTGTGCCGCGATGTTTTCCTGGCTGAGGGAATTTCCCTCCCCCAGGACCTCACAGAAATGCTCAGCAAATCTGCGAACCTGTTCCTGGGGGTCAGAAATTGGATCACCGTTTTTTCCCCTAATGATGGTAATAGGTGTGGCGCTGCAGGTTACTTTTTTGATGGAGTTAAATAGAGATTTGTGATCACGGGTCACTGAGGCAGACTCCATCTCCTCAGCAACCCGCGACCACCACCCATCCTTGCAGCGCCTCACGGCTCTCCGAACCTCCGAGCGAAGGCTGCGGTAAGCCTCCTCATTCTCTGACGTGGGATTCTGTAGCCGATGACAGTGGGCCTGTCGCTTTTTCTCAACCATCGTGAACAACTCCTCTGTCATCCAGGGTGTCTGGGGAGGTCTGGACCGCGTACCCAAAGCAGCCATTGCAGCTGCATGAGTCACAGTCCTAAACCTCGCCCATTTACCCTCGACATCAGGAGGAGTCGGGGACGATGCCAATCCCAGCCGCAAGCGATGATGAAATTCTCGCTTGCAACTTTCATCAGATAACTGAGACCAGGCCACTTTAGGTTGGAATGGGGTCCTGGGTGTACACCCACCACCGGAGTGGAAGAATGGCAGGCGCATCTTACAGATGACTAGTCGATGGTCAGAGGGCAGATCAGCTCCACGGTAGGTCCTGGTGTCAAGGACATGGGCTCGCATTCGCTGGTCCGTCACTATGTAGTCCAGCAGATGTTCTTGCTTGGACCCGGCATGCATCCATGATGTTGTGTGGATGCGCCGATGCCGGAACAGCGTGTTGGTAATTACAAGCCCATGGGCTGCACAAAAATCTAGCAGCCTCCTACCGTTGTTATTGAGCTGATCTGGCCCATGCCCTCCAATCACTCCAGACCAGGTGCCAGTATCATGACCAACTCGGGCATTGAAGTCACCCAACATGATGACTCTATCCCGAGGGGCCACTTTAGCCAGCACCTGTGACAGGAGGTCATAGAAGGCATCTGACTCATCGGCCTTGCCTGCATCCCTCCACGGATGTTCATCTTCGGTGGGGGCATAAGTAACCACGACCACCATTCCTCGCCTCCGGTTGATGGGAAGGCGAGCCCAAAGTAGCCTGGGGCTTACAGCTTCCCACACCTCACCGCCACGCTCCCACGCCCCCTTCATTCTTTTGTTCAAAAGAAGACCCACACCCTGTTGTTTGGCAGTCTGCTGCCCCGAGTAGAGGACTGTCCACCCCTCATGGTGGCAGGAGCCAGAGCCGGTCCACCGGACCTCCTGAATGCCGCATAGATCCAGGCGGTACCGGTCCAGCTCCCGACAGAGGAGTGGCAGCCTCTCCTCTGCAGTGAGCGTTCGAACATTCCACGTGGCCAACCGTAGTGGCTTTTCGTTGTTTCTGGAGTAGCCCCGAGGGTAGGTATTCAATCTCCTGGCTCCGCCAATTGGGGTTTGGCCAGGAGACGTCATAGACGCCTGGCCCCCCGGGGCCTCCGGCACAAGCTTAGTTGTTACATATTTCATTCGTAGTTTCGTGG